GAGCAGACTAAAGACACACCCTACCTCATTAAAATATTGGTTCAAAAGAAAGAAATGGCGCCAAACCCGTTAAAATAGCTGAGAAAGCCTCTAGGGGACATTTTGAGCTTCCGATTGGTTATTCATATCATATACAGACTTATGTGTATAGAAGGAAAGTGGGTGGGGTACCACTGTGTTTAATTTATTACATGAACAATTTCTTAGCAAATTGAAAAGATAAGAGCTTGTCAATATCGGTAATTTGAGGGTCTAATTTGTACGAAATTTTAAACCTAGTATTTTGACTTCACAAACATCTAATTTGAACCAGTGCTGCATTCAACATACCACGTGACACACAAAAATCAATGTTTTTATAACATTTGTTTTTAAATTAAGAAATTGAGTAATGCATGGCAATAAAATTTGAATTATAATCTACAGTTTGATACCAAATTTATTGACATAAATTCATGAAATAGTAGTTCAATAAAATATTGAATGCGAGTCAAAAAAAGAGATGACATGATCTTTCACCCATGACCCGTCTCAAAAGGGTTAACACAATAATTTGCTCCATTTACTTAGCTCTCTCAATACAGAATCGGTCAATTTGACCGACCACGTGACCTTTTTGTGTTTACAGATTTAATACTTATAACTCTCAATATAGTGGGTATATCTTCACAAAATTTGGCATTCTTTCAGTTAATATTACAAGTCTTTCACATACAAATAGTCATATTTCTTAGTGAGGTTTTTTAATAAATTAAAATTAACATTTGTCCATTAATGTATCGCGTATTTGTTTTGAATATTCCATGTGCAAAGTAATTTTCATGTTAGAATTAGAAATACTTTTCCTCATCTCAAATTTCCTTTATGTAATCCCTAAAACCTCCTAAATTCATTTCAAACGTTTTTTCTCTGTAAAACTTTATAGTTTATCTGTTATTTTCTCTACCCTATCTCAAAACAGGATCTGTTAATTCGACCAACCTCGTAAACAATAAAATAAAATCGAAATAAACCTAAATTACCATTGTTTTCTTTACAGAGTGACTTCAAATTGTAACATGAAACTACATTCGTTTATCATAAGTAGCTCTAAGTTCGTAACAGTATACATCTATTTATAATTAAATTATATTGTTTTTATTGCCCTTTGAACTGCGTTTAACTACTATCCGCGCCATTATAAGTTTTAAATCACTCTGGGAACATGCAGCTAACGTTACGTTATTGAATTACATTACCCACGAGCTGCTCGCGTGCATGCCTTGTGAACCATTTTAATTTTATTATGACTTATTTTACATAATATAGTCTTAAATAACTTAAAAAGATCCATATTTTTAGATTTTAGTTACATTTATAATAATAAATAAAGAATATATATATGAAAAACAAGAAATAAAGTACTTACCCAATCTTTTTTCTTACCCTTGATCGTGGAGGACAGTCAAGCCTGATTTTTTTATAGTAATGCGCTTAATTTTTATTTAATTACATAATGCACCAAAGAATATAGACTACAAACATGCAAAAAGTATACAAATTCCCCTTACTCTTAAAATTTTTTCTGGCTTTCTAACTATGCGACAACAGCTGTTACAAAATCATCGAAGCTAGTCGTTAACTTTCCAACGGGAAAGAATCTTGTACTGTGAGTGAAATTAATTATATTCTTTTCAGAACACAACATTATACAAGCAGTCATTTGATAGATGAAAATCTTGACTTTCTATTGATTATAGGTAATATATAACGAAATTTAGGAGGGAACTATCAAGGAAATGTGGCAGGAGGGGGCTGATTTTCTATTCCATAGCTCTGTAACAAAGCAAAATTGAAGACTATAAAAATTATGGTTTGTCTGAACAATAACGATTTTATAGAGTAATTTACGTTTAATTTCGTACTTTTTCTAGGGGTGGTGGATAAAATAGGAATGGTGACGTGCTAAGAGAAAATGTGTCACGTGGGTCCCACTAGTGGAAATTCAGGATTTTTTTAAATATTGCCTTATGGAATTAAGAACTTAAAACTTGTATACTATTAAAATATGGATTATTAGCTACGATTTTATGCTATTCTAATTGGTATAACATAAATAATAAGTAGTTTAATAAAATTTTGAATGTAAAACAAACCTTGTGTCATGTGCAGTAAAGGATACCTGGGGTGATAAATTTAGCCTGAAGCCTGTAATAAGTGGCCAAAAGTTTGCTTAAATAACAAAACCAATAGTGTCTTATTCCTTTCTTTTTTTCCCCCTTCATAAAAAGTAGGAAATTTACCCAGATGTCATTAGGGAGATCATATTGTCTACATGTGTTTGTATTTCTCTGTAAAAAAAAGTTTAGACCTGGTTATATTCCTACTTGTAAACATGATACTCAATTTACATTTACTTAATACTTATAAAAATATGAACATATAGATTTCGTTTCACATTTCAACAATAATACAACAATATGGCCACACTCAAGGTTTTACTTGGCCTAATCTTTTAGACCTGGTATTTGCCTAATTTTGTATTTAACTAGAGATTTCCTTGTTACCCAGTAATCAGCAAAGGAACTACCCATATTGTTTCCAGGCTTTCTTGTATATTTATACTTTTTTGTACACTTTTTAAATTCCTTAGTTTTTCTAAAGTCATGATTATTTTATGCTACAAGCATTTTTCCAATTACAAGAATCCTCATCATGATGATTTTTCACATATTAATGATTGGGAAGAAATACAGTTGCAAATGATTATTTTTGCTAAACTAATTTTAAATGCAAAAATCACAGAAAATGAAAGATTTTAAGACTGAAAGCTGATTTATTTCATAATCCTTTTCCATTTTTGTTTTGAGGGAAAGAAAACAAAGTTGTACAGAAAAGACTTAAAATGCTGATGTATTATTTCATGTTCTACTACTTAGTTGCCAATATATTTATCAATAACAGAATTTATTTAACAGTCTCTGAAAGAAAAAAAATCCAATGTACAAACACATACACCTATGTACACAGCAGCCAATTAATGGAAGAATCTTCTATAACAGGAAAAACGATTCACGCATTTGGTCAGTCAAAATCTAAATCTTCGATAAAATCATAAACAGATGAACACTGGCCCTCATGCTGTGAAGATCCCTGATCCACATTAATGTAATCCAGAGAAGGTCTTTGATTCTGATTTAAGTGATTAACAGCAGAATCTTGGTTGTCTGTGGAATTATGACTGGTTGGGATTAAGGGTTCTCCATTCTGGCTGCTGCTGCTTCCATGTATGGTGCTAGATGTACTGCTTGAAGAAGAATATGATTCATTTCCACAGCTCCCTTGTGCAATTTCTTCATTCAAAATCTTTCGACAAATGGGGCATGTAGCATGCTTTATAGGGAGAAAAAAAATGTCTAATACTACAAGTTTTATTATTATGTAATAAAGGTGATAAAATGCACAGAAAAATAACTTAAGCAAAGCAATACCAAAAACCTGTTACCTAGACCTTTCATTTCTACTAGAACAAAAAAATCTAAAATTATTTTTGACCCACTTGTGTTAACCTGTTTACAATTATAACAGCTAAAACTTTGAAGTCGAAATAATAGTGGACCATTTTACAAACTGCTGTTAAATCATGGCCTTAGCACAACATTTGACATCAGTTACCTAAAGGTCAGTACAATTACTCTAATGTATTTGCTACAACAGAATTCTGACTCAGTCTACATTCAGATTTTTGATTGAACATTCAATAATTTTTTTTAAAATATCCACAGACACAAATTTTACAATTCAAAGCTTACCAATTCTAGCCAGGGAATAATGCAGTCATTGTGATAGTGGTGTTGACATGATAATTTTTTCACAGCTTCTCCTGTATTGAAGTCTTCCATACAAACACTACATTGCAAATTATGATCTGAAAATATATAAACATTTTAAAATGTAAAGAAATGTTCTAACAATTTTTTCAATAAAACTGGTTTCACACAGAAAACATTAAAAATAAAAACAATTTATATGCATAGAAATGAATCCAACAAGAATGTCAAATACAAAAAAGGTGGAATTATTCATAGTTTACATAGAAAAATCTTGAAACATAACTGAATATACATTTTTAATAATTCTGAAAATTAAGTTTATAATTACAATGTATTTACACTGTGATCCCCCAAGGTAGACATAGAGTAGTGCAAAAGATCCAAAAGCCAGTAAAAAAATAGAAGGATGACCAGGCAATTGACACTTAGGGAAGCTAATCAAGAATGGCTCATTGATGGATTAGATGGCAGCTCAGATGATGAATCATCCTGTAATGATGGAATAGGTTTTTCCAGTAGTACATTGACCATTCTCGACAAATTGAAGAAAGGTTTTGCAATCTTGAACATTGAGCAGATCTCACTCAATGATTTTCCAAAGAATGGTATCAATGGAGAAAAACTAGCTGAGCCTGGGAGAACACGACTGAGAGCTTTACAAGTGTGTTGTTTTGTGCATAATGGAGTTCTACAGTTAGTGTCTATCTGATCCAGAAATGTTGCATGGATTGCTTGAAGATATAGAACAAATGGATGATAGGAATAAGCTGGAGAAAAATGTTATTCAACTTGGTCTTTTTGCTAATACAGTGGTTTCCACAGTTGCTCAAAGTATGCTTACAAAGTCCCTTGATCAACAACCACTTCATGATTTACTACAGAAAGAAGGTACTTTGCTTCAGCAGAGAAATCATGAAGAAGTAGAGAACAGAGAGCAAGACGAAAAACAGTGGAAATGTGTGCTGAAGAGTGTTTTGTTACAAGACTTGGACATTGAGATTGAAGACATACTAGAAAAATGTTTATTCTCACTGATTATGCACTGAAATTGATTAATAACATCACTGGAACTAAAATAACTAATATTTGCCAAAATCAAAGCATTCCAAACTTTCCTTTGATTTTCTGGGAAGTCAGGACGTAGCTGAGTACAGAAAGGAACCAAAAAGGATTTTTTTAAATTCTGAAAGTTGCTGTTGCCTTTTTAGACCATTCCATATCTTTTGCACACAGCAAACCCAAGGGTAGGTTTCCCACTAACCAAGATCTTGATAAAATTACAAATTTTCTGTTTTAATCTAATAATACTGAATGAAAGAAGCACCCTTCGAAAGCATCCAAAGGAAACCCATGGAAATAAGTCAGACTCAAAGGCCTGATGAGGGGAGCCATGCCACTTCTGAACCAGGTATGCTCTTCACCCATACATTAAATACATACGAGCAGAACAGTAGAGGACCAAATCCAAGTAGGAGAGAACTCCGGCTGGATAGTGCGCTGAACCATATGATATGGAAGTCAATCCCACCATAAAAAGTGGGTAAACAATGAATATGCTCCTAGGGTACCATGGACCATATGGATATGTCAGCTACATCCAAAACCCTCACTGCATGGAACTGACATCCACGCGGGGGTATGACGATGATCATACCATCTTCACCACAAGTTTGAGAGATCGGAGGGAATAGATAACCACTCTGATACCCAAGCATGGCACATCTAGTAGAGTTTCATAGTTCAAAAGGATGCCTGTATAAGAAAACTCAACTCCCACAACAGGGAAACAAACTGGAATCATCCCAAAGCTGGAACATCCTTGGATAAAATATATCAAGAGACTGCAAAGCTGTGACCCACAACACAAAGAGTTTGATCAAGGGATGACTATAGAAAACCATGAATATACATGAGACCTTATGTTGATTGATTCACTCTAAATCCAACACCAGGCCACAGAGTACCCATATAAACACGATATTAGGATGAGGGCTCCAGATCAAAAAGGGTTGACTGCATTTTTAACAGCTCAACTCCAGTGGTTGTGTAAAGCATATCAGGAGGCCACATCATCCAGCAAAGTAATGGCTCAACTGCTCTGGAAATCAGTTCTCATCTACATCAGCAGACACCACCACCCTACTCTTGACTGAATGGTTATACCCATCTTTTGTGGAACCCATTAAGGAGGGTGCCTCCACAGTCAACCACCCCTGCTGCTTGGAACTGAAAAGTGGTAAGGAGAGGAGGGTGAATACTTTGTGGAGAGTCTGGATAAACGTCACCACTGGAGACAGTGCAATGGGTGACCACAAAACCCAATTTTGAAAAACAGATCATACAAATTTACTTAATCAAGACACAACAGGGATGGGCAGCTATCCCCTTCTGCTTTACCCATACAGTCCATGGATGGTATGGTCCAGAACAGGCACGTTTATGATGCAGAAACATCGCGAGGTTATTCACCTTCAAGTAAATCTTGTGGAACACCCCATTTCACCATGGAAGAGAGCAAAATTCAACATGGCTATACATTGCAGATTTCAACTGACGAATACCTGGTCAGGCACTGCTCACCACAAAGTGGGATCCACATAGTGACTAATGAAGCAAGGGCCCCTGAAAGAAAAGAAATAATGAACAGAAACTTGTCCACTTAAAGTTGCACTGAAATATGAATAAACAGTCAGGCAGTAGACTAAAACCAGACAAGGAAGAAACTGTGATGTGATGTAGATAAGGGGAAACAAACATATTAGGTGTAGTCCTCATGCTCAAATGTAGGAGTTCCCCCCAATGGCCAATGAAGACGAGATGCCAGGGAAAAGGTAAGGAAGTTGAATCTGATGAGAAAATACCTGGAACAAAGTCTGGGAGGAAGATGACAAAGGGAAGAAAGCCAATAGGATCAAAAGCTGAACACAACTGGTGAGGGTGGAAAGAGAAAGATCTCGACTGGAGGAAAACTGCCTAGGAATAAAGAGGCAGGAGTAAGCACGATGGAAAGAAGCCACACAGGCAATAGAAAAATGAAGAGTACAAATGGCACATTGGACCCAATCCAGATTGGGTCAAGGATAAAGATGGAAAAAGAAAGGAAGGGAATTAGGCAAAAGGAGGAGTTACCTACCCTAGCCCCTGATGTCTTTGGTAGGAAGGAAAGATCCAGATAAAGGAGAAGAGAGGGAGTGGGGAAAATGTACAAGAAACATTGTGGGAAACAAATTCGACCTCCAACATACACAGGCATAGATGAGAAGGAATTATGTTTGAAGGAAAGGTGAAACATGGAACAAAAGGAAAGTGTTGCAAATGAAAGTGAAGGGAATAAAAGATCACATTAATATTCTAGGTTGAAATGGTATGCAATCAGAAAGGTTGATTAATCTGAAAGGAACATAAGAACATAGTAAGGATAGGTAGGTAAAAACTCCATGGTATAGGGAAAAAACGAAGGTTTGGGACAAGGCTGCCCAATAAGAGAGAGAGGACCAAAGACACATGGTCAAAAAACCAGGAGAGAAACTGCCACCCAAGACACAGGGGTTTGATCTGCCAAAATCCCTGACTTGTAAATGAACTGCAGAACACTTTCCATTTATGCCACTAAATGCCCACTGAAGAAGAGTGAATGGAACAAGCTAAAAGAAAGCTACCTGTTGTTATAAACCTGATCTCCCCACCAAGGACTGATTAACAGTCTAGTGTGAAGATGAATGTCCAGATGGAGTACCAGCAAACGAAGTGGAGGAAGAAGGGCAGAAGACAAAAGAAGAGGCAATGGAGGTAAAAGTTGGAGCTAGAGAAGTCACGGAAAACTTGGTTGAGTTGGCCATTAAGGAGCAATCAGAAGGACTTAACACAGAATGGTAGGGATGAGGGACATGACCCATAGAAGTAAGAGGATGGGGGGATGAACCAATCCCAGCCAAAGGCATCAACAACCCTAGCCAGAGAACGAGGTACCAGATACCAAAATAGAAGTAATGGGTGGTTAAGAGATCTGTGTGGGGAGAATCCCATGGGAGACAGCCACTGGAAAACAAGAGAAATGAGAGACCACTCCAATGGATAGAATGTGTCGGTACAAGGAAAACAAACTGCAATTTTAGCAAAAGCACCCAGAATATGATATGTAAGGATATGAATATTGTGCGAGGGGGCCCAAAAGAGCAGATCTAATATGTGAAAAGAGAGGATATGCAAACAGGTGCCACCCACAGGAGCAACATTCTCAAAAAAGCAACAAAAGAAGAAAAGGAACAGACCATAAAATCCTATTAATAATGGAAAGAAAAACAAACAACAGTGTCACATCCAATACTAACCCAAAAGCAAAGAAGCCATGTGAGGAGTGAACAAACTGATGATGGTAAAAACTATAACATGGAGGGAACAAAGAGGAGATATCCTTCGACAAACCTGAAATGTAAACAAAACACCAAATAAAGGGAAAAATTAAAGATATGCGCAACAATAGGGGAAAAAGAATGACAAATGCTGGAAAAAATCTACCTCAAGTTAAACTAAGGTAAAATTGAAAGTCGATAGAAGGTGATGCCTGTAGGTAACCAAACTCAAGAGAGACAAAAGGAACAGCACAGAAAACATGAAGATAACATTCTGCAAAATGTGTCTGAAATATGTAAAGTAGGTCTAGCAGATACTGCAATAGAAGTATGGAAGGCATTCCATGATAAGGTCAGGGAGAACTAAGAATTTTAGGACATTGTAAAATGGGCTCAGCCTTTAGATGGGGAAGGTAAGCAATAGTGAAAGCAGATACGGCAGACCCAAACTCCCAGGGACCACCACAAGAATTTTAATTATTGGTAAGAAGGATAAAGTATAAATTAAACGAAAGTTACTGTGAAAAGTATAAACTAGAAAGAAAAACACAATGAAATAGTCCACGTAGTGAAAAACTGGAAGAAAATTGTGTAGAGAATGCATCCCTTATCATGTTGAGTTGATGAAAAATTTGGAACCGTGGTAGGTATAAAAATGTCCATAAAACTATGGGAAATCAATAAATTAATTAACGGTAAGAAAGATAAGGGCCCGGCATGGCCTGGTGGATAAGGCGCTCGAC